CAAAAGTACCATCCATAGTGACTAAAAATGAGAGAGATTTGACTATGTAAAAATAAAGTGAGGACCTTTGTTGAATGAAGGAAATCACTGAAAAAGTTAAATGAGTGACACACAAAAAAGGATATTTTCAACGTGCAAAACGCGGGCATAGATCAATATCTATATCTAAATCTATATCTATATATATATATATAGAAGGACTCTAGTCAGTCAACAAGAAAAAGATGGGGAATGGTATTCGTTTTCTGTATGCTGTTATAACAAATGACTAAACTTGGTGCTTTGAAATAACACAGATTTACATTTTACCGTTTGGTAGGTCAGAAGTCTGATGTGGGTCTCACTGGGCTACAATCAAAGTGTCTGCAGAGTTCTGTACCCTCTGCAGACTCTAGAGGAGACTCCGTCTCTTAGCTTTTCCAGCTTCTAGAGCTGCCAGTGTTCCTGGGCTCATGGCCCCTTCCTGCATCTTCAAAGCTAGAAAAAATCAGGTTTATCTTGCTCACATTGCCTCACTCTGACCTCCCTTTCTAGCTTGCTTTTCCACCTTTAAAGCCCCTGGTAACCACACAGAGCCCACTTGCACAATCTAGGACGATCTCCCTGTTCTAAAAGTTAGCTAATTGGGAATCTTAGTTTTCCTTTGCCCTGGAAAAGAACATACATGCCAGGAGTTAGTACATTGACATCTTTGGGAGAACCATCGATTGGCCCACCAGGAACACACCAGAACAAGACGGGGGTATGAGAGCCTTTAGAGAGAGGAACACTAAAGCTTAGAAAACTTGGTTCTGAAACTGCCGGCACAATGACCTAAGCAGCATCAGGAAATTCATTCACTTATTCAATCAGAATATTTACTAAGCAGATATCATGGACGAGATTCCTACAGAAATGCAAAGATGGAGAGATTCCAGGGATCTGCTATAGGCCCCCTTGAGACCCAGCCTGTCCAGGGCCATAGGAGGTGTCCTGAAATACTATAAATAAAAAGTTTATTGGCTGTGGACACCAGCCCTATGAGAGATGTTCTATTTCCAAGACTTCTGTCTTTATTTGGGAGTCAGAATGACACAGGCTTTAGTCTAATAACTGTGCAAAATTACCTTCCCATTTAAAGAGAAGATCAAAATTAATTTATTTTACAATTACCATGTTAGCTCTGGACTGTGTTTTTGCCTTAACTGATATCTCATTCTTCCTTANGTGTATAGATATATAATTGATTTTGTATATTGATTTTGTATCCTTTAACCTTGCTAAGGTCTTTTTTTCTCCAGTAGTTTCTGTTTTGATTCCTTAGGATTTGTCTCTATATAAGATCATGTCAATGGCAAACAGAAATAGATGTACTTTTTCTTTCTAATCTGGAGGACTTTCCCTTTTCTTGCTCAATCACCCTAAATAAAAAGTTCCAGGACAAAATTAAACAGAAATATCGATAGCAGACATCTGTGTCTGCTTTTCTACATCTATAAATAAGACCCTTACTTATTAAATTATACAAAAAACCAGCAGGGTTCAAATTTATGTTGCTCTACTATTTGAAATGGAACATGAATAGAATTTGTTTCCATCCTTCCACTTTAAAAGGGCATGAAATATTTATGAACCTTCTATTTTGGTATGGGGACAATAAATTAGAATTTGACAATCCCCTTAAAAATTAAATATTATGTAAATTCATAGGACAAAGTCACGGGGCATGATTAGGAAAATTCATGAGTGGGGAGTGAAACCTCAGCCCTCAACCACTTTTCCTTCTTAGAGATCAGAATTATTAATAAATCATGATTTCATTTTTAAATAAGGCAGGCTGGGGTCCAGGTGACTTTCCTGGAAGGCACACAGAAGGCTTGCTGCCCTGGGGCACTGTGAAGAACTTCCACACAGCTATTGGGTAGAGCTCCTTTTGTTTAGGAATCCTGCTTTCACTGTCTCCATAAATAAATTAGTATCCCGATTAATATAAAAGCAGCCTGAAAAGCATTTCCCCTTTGGACCAATAACTTCTTCCCTCTGAAAAATGAGGAAAAGGGACTGAAGCGCTGCATGTTTTTCTCCCCCCGGCTGGAAATTTCTCCTGGATATGGCTCTAAATGGCTGTAAGGCTGAGGGCACCTCCAACCATGCAGCCTCCCTCACTGAGCAGCAAGGTCGTTTCTGGGGCCTCTGATGCTGGTCATTTCAGACGCTCCTCTGATGGAGCATCTACCTTGTGGTTACACTTGCAGGTAGCACTGGGATATGACTAGACATTGCATTTGATTCCTAGAAAGAGGATTATTTCAGTCCTTTCGGGCTACTGTAACAAAACAGAATGGATGACTTGTAAACAAATGTATTTCCCATAGTTCTGGAGGCTGGAAAGATCAAGGCCCTGGCAGATTAGTGTCTGGTGAAGACCAGCTTCCTGATTCCTGCGTGCATGCTCCATCACTTAGACACGTCTCTTTGCGACCCCATGGACTGTAGCCCACCAGGCTCCTATGTGCATGGGATTTCCCAGGCAAGAATACTGGAGTGGGTTGCCATTTCCTTCTCCAGGGGAATCTTCCTGACCCAGGGATAGAACCCATGTCTCCTGCATCGGCAGGCAGATTCTTTTACTGCTGAGCCGCCTGGGAAGCCCTCCTGGTTCTCAGATGGCTGTTTTTCTGTGTCCTCACTTGGCAAAAGGGAGGAGGGAAACCTTTCCTCTCAGAAACCTCTTTTCTAATCATATAAAAGCACAAATCCCACTCATGAGAACTCCACCCTCAGGAGCCAATCTCCTCCTAAAGGTCCCACTTCCTAATGCCATCACAGCAGAGATCAGATTTTAACATGAAATTTTTTTTTTTTTTGTGTGGGGGTAACGGGACAAACCAGAGAAGGCAATGGCACCCCACTCCAGTCCTCTTGCCTGGAAAAT